ATGAAGCCAGTCGAGCCGTGTTTTCCGAGGAATTTTTTCCTGTGACAGCGAAAAGAAACTCCATTTGAGGAGCAGGTCATTAGGAGCATAGTCGAAACTCAGGCGAAAGTAGAGCCACTGCTGCTCTAATAATAGCATCTCTGGCGACAGCTTTGCCCTTAATTCGCTCCTGGGGGCGAGTGTGAGTCTGGGCAAAGCTGTCGCCGAAGGTGGAGTGTGTGGGTGTTAGTCAGGTGATTGTGGACCCAGGTAGCGCTAACCTCTTAGCGAGAAAGCCCGAGACCAGGGGCCCGTTCCTCGCCTGTGCTAAACTTAAATCTAAATCTAAATCTGAATCTAAAAGCGGTCTAAAAGCAAAAAGTCTATACTTCGCCCTGACCCTTTAGACTAAGATTTAGCCTAAGATTTAGATTTAGATTTAAGTTTAGCACAGGCGAGGAACGGGCCCCAGGACCTTTTCCAGTTCGGATATTAGATGTTGACCGGTCATTGATAATATAGATTTTGTGGCCTAGGGAGGAAGTTTTGGGGCACCTTTTGCATCAACAAATCCTTCGTGAATCTGGATTTTCTTCTCTGGCGGTCATCAAAAGCAAATATAGCAACCGGTTCACTGCCGAAGGAGGCAGTGATTTTCTCAGCAGAGCAAGCACATACCCATCGCACTGAATAATGAGTATTCGTCATCATTCATCAGCTGATGAATGATGTTTTTAATGCTTTTTACGCTTTGAAATAAATTTAAACGCGAGTTACATCGCGTTTTCATTTTACATTAATGAGCAGTCCAAGGTGCTTATCCTATCGAGTTTTTCCTTGTGCTGGATTTCTCTTCTGCCCGAAAATTGGGGGTCGTGTGCCCAAAAAGTTTGAGAACCGCTGACTTAAGGTGTTTTCTCAGATTCGTTTCGTAGTGGAAACTGTAACTGAAAATTGCCCCTTGCATCCCCTTGGAAATTTGTGCCTATAAGGCGCACGTTAACGCAATCCCTGGTCTGAACGGGAGAGATGAACGGCTGCATGCACTGAGAAGCGAATCCGTCCCGAAATATTTGCAAGAGTCGTTATCACCAGTTGAACGAGGAATTTTTACGATTAACACATTTCGCGATGTGTTTGGCATGTAGGGATGGGTTATTGACCGGTCAATATTATGGTCAGTAAGGCCAACTTTTCTTTTGCTTTTTTTCCTGCCCAGTTTGTGCTCCATTTGTATATCATGATTCGGAAGCTGACAGGTCAAAACGCGGTCATTTATGACGATTTACGGACAATTATGGTCAAGGAACCCAACAAGAGATTAGGCATTACGGCTGTATATGATCATAAATGACCATGTTGGCCGGTCAACATCCCATCGCTCAGATAGACTACCTTACAGATTCCACGAGTTGGAACATTAAACAGTCGTGTTTCAGAGATAAATTCTTTGACTTAATTAGCTCCATAAGTACTCTGAATAACGAGGAATGCGACACAGTGTCCAAAAACTGGAGTTTTCTGGGTTTTGGTATAGGTATTCATTCCTGTTCTTATCAGGAAAAAAACAAGCCTCTGCCTTGCTCAAGGAAATTCTTCATAGCTGGATTAATTTTTTTAGGCACAGGTCTAGGCATAGTCCACGTAAGTTTACTTGTCCATTCATCGCAGACTATGAGAATAAATTGATGCTCTGACGCAGACTATCGGCCTTGATAGACCTTGGATTAGCCTTCTCGGAGGCAACTTTACACTTTTTTTCCCCCCCCCCGATTGGCTGTCCACATTCGTCGGAAAAGTCCCGATGAACTATATATTTCCGAGGAACTTACTTGAAGTCCTTAAAAAAGAAACTATAAAATTATACAAATTGGGTCACCTGACCTGATTAAAAATTCAAAATGACCGCCACGTCACCCTCTGAATATCATAATTTTCAACTTTGACGAGTTGCTACTCAATATACTAAAAATGTGGCGAGTAAATCTGCCTGAATAAGATGGCAAAACTTCAAAGCTACAAAATGAGGTATTTAGCATTGAAAAATTCTGACTGGTTCTAATTTTAATCCACTTTCAGCCTGGTTCGGGAGTTTCCTCCCAAAACATAGCGGGTTATATTATATCGAGAAGCCTCAAAGAGGAAATTTAGATCCACTATTCACATCGGCTCATATGTAACGCAGAATTACTGTGCAGTCTATCTAGTCCAGCTTTGTATTGCCGGCATTGCCTATTATATGGTAGCTCCTAATTTTGTGCTGTCAACAGCCTATCAAAACGTCGGAAAGGGGCTCCAAGATATCAGTGGCGGACCTCGGTGTTCCTGGCATTGGTCAGACATCTCATCGAGATTTCTAATATCATTCATACGTGATAGGTACATCATACATAGCGGGGCTCAGGGAGGACTCCACACCTGGGAGTGTCAACTGAATGGATTGGTTTGCGAGTTGCTGATTAAATATTATGCAGTCTTGCTGTCCAACCGAGACCGGGCGAGAATGGGTCCAGCCATCGTCCATTTTGAATAACCACGTTCTTGCCTTTGGGGCGGCTCTGGCTCCCGGAATTCCCCCCACCCCCCCATTTGCAGCTTAGAATATCTCGCCGGTCGAGTGTAGTTTCGATGACTTCAGTCGCCCAAACAACGTGAGTTTTTAAAAGAAATCGCGGAAGCGAAGAGAGGAAGGAGGAAATGGAAGGACACTTCCGCCTTTCCCATTCAACATGGAGAGGTCGCCCCTAGTGGTCGCCTAGATGTCGCCCCACGACGTGACTCGAGGCTCCGGGGTGCATCTCAGTGCGCTGAGTGAACTGGACGTGGGAGGTCGAGGTGGTCTGCTGCTCCGCTCGAGACCGACTGCATTCGGCTCGGTTTAGGTCGCCTGAAATGATTGCGACAATGAAGAGAGTCCATTTTTGTTTTAATTACGAGCGTAAATGGACGAAGAACCTGGGAAGGTCGACTGTTCTCGTGGAAGTAGCGGAAACAAAGTTAATGCATGAATTTGTTCCTTTTATTATTATTATTTTATTGACTAGTGTGGAATTTTAGGCTTTTCCTCCAGATTTTCAGGTGCAGTCCACCCCACCCGAGGGTACACTGCGAGCGAAGCTATTTTCTTTGGAAATTGTCAACTTCCTGTTGTTACCAAATTTTCCTCGAAAACTTGTTCGACGATCCGAAAATGACGCTTCATCGTCGAAAATGAATTACGAATCATCTAAAAATGATTCCAAAAGGTTTGCAGCATTAAAAAAAAAATAAGGCTGTGGAAGAAAGTGAGTTTCGATTCCCCCGAAACTGAAATCGTTTTCCGCCTTTATTTAGCTACATAATGCCGAAAAGACATGCAAACCATCCTAAAGCAGGTCGCAAAATACATATTTTCCTGCCAATTTTGATTCGTCCAATTTTTTTGCACGAGATTCAGATCCCCCCCCCCCCGCAGTTATTTTTGCGTCCAACACTTTGATAAAAACGAGTACGTTATCCACGATTGTATCGATTCCTCTATCATGTACAAGACTTGGGATGAAGCTGTTTTATTATTGATAGACCTACTATTGATAAACCTAGTTTACATTAGTTCCACCGTTTCTTCCCTCCGCTGTTCCCCTATCGAACGAAGGACGTCATCCTCGCCATCCTCGCGAGGTGACTTTTCCGCCTGGCTCAAGGTCGGATTATTTGGCATGGGCGGGAACGCGATCCGGGGCTGCCCATCGACCCGGCTAGGCGAGTGTGTGGTTTCACTGTGATTAAACGTGAAGGGTTTCAGTAGTGCTCGGTGATTTCCTCTTACTCGTTCCAGGTTCAAGATGTGTTGCCTTTGATACCTTGTATTAATTGACTTAAATTCGTGACGGACTGACATCGAAGTGTGTATATCCCCGGAAGTGAGAGTGGATTGAAAAGACGTGAGAAGATGCAGCAAGGAAGAGACCGTTGGAATGCACCTTCCCACGGAAGGCCCCTTCACATGACAGGACCTTATAGAGGGCAGCAGAATTTCCATCACCCCCATTATCAATCCAGAAATTACTCCAGGCGGGAGGATCATCAACTTCCCCATGAATCTAGGATCCACCAGGGACAGCAGAATCCTCATTCAACCAACTACGAATCCAGAACTACCAGCAGACGGGAAGATCTCCATCCTCGCTTTTATGAATCCAGAATGTATGAACTGCAGAGTTCTTGTCCGTCCAGTCAACCGGGACAGAGCAAGTCATCTTTCAGTTGCTATTCCTCTGTTATGGTGTTATCAGCATGTCAATATGTATGGCCTCAGGCACCTCATCACCATTGCTTGTGCTGTTGGCTATTGCAGCATGGAAACTTTTTATTTGGGAAAGTAAAGTTTTGCAATATGTAAGTTTGGCACTCATATGCTGATGGGCTTCATGCACTTTGGTCTGGCCATAATGTGATCATATGGATATTACATATTTTCTGTCCCAGTGGCACTTTGCATTTTGTGGTGGCTCTGAGTGTGTGCAATCACTTGCATGAAATTGGGGTACATTTACACCTGGAAAAGTATTTTTGATAATGCTACCTTAGGTCAAATGAGGAGATGGCAAGGAAAAACCGAACCAATCCCAAAGGGAGTAAGAGGAAAAGGAAGAGGGCAAACACTGAGAGTAAACTATGAAGAAAATACTTGCAGACCTCATCATTGGATTGGATACAAACGACTGGAAGAGATTGCCAAAAATTTGTCTCCACCAGAAACTGTGGTGGCAGTCATGGATACCAATGAAAGCTTTCGCAGACTCCTGTCTGACCCAGTCACATTTCAGAAGAGTGACTGGGTGGTTCTCATTGCAGGAGTTTTTGCAAAAGTGTGCAGTGTAGATGGCTGTGATAATCATGTGAATGCATCTCTCACAATGTTGATGCAGAGTGAGTTTCTGGAAGCCTGCTCTTCCAGAGTACTTCTTGAACTGCAGAGTCAGCCCTCCAAAAATGAAGAGGGATTCCATCTATTGAAGCAGCTTTTCCTGATTCTAAGGGCTTTAGTAACAAAGTATCCAGGTGTCTCTGGCAGCAATGTGATGAAACTCATTCATGCTTGTAGTAACAACTTGCTCTATCTCCAGAACCATGGTTTTGCTGTGGAAGAGTTGCATGGCAAATTTTCTAAGCTCCTCACAATTGTTCAAGAGGCCAGTATGGCCATGCAAGTGGGTTCAGGCTCAACCACCTTGAGAACAGGAGCTGAAGAAGAACGTCTGAATCGACTTCATCTCACAGTAGCTCCTGAGAACTTCCGATGCATTCCTATTGTACCAACCTCTGAGGAACTTCTGGATGGTGAAGCTTCCTTCCTTCGACCAAATATCACAAAAGGTGCATATGCAAATGTTGAACATTATCTTGATGTTCACTTCAGACTGCAAAGAGAGGATTTTGTTGCACCTTTGCGAAATGGACTCAAGGAATACCTGAATGAAAGACACAGGAAAATGCACTTCAAACATCAAGACATCCGTGTCTATACTGGAGTGACATACCACCATATGGAACACGATAATGGATTTCACCTCATCTACAGATTTGATGCAACTTGGTTCTCAAAGGTGAAATGGGAAATCTCCAAGAGATTCAAGATGGGATCTCTTCTATGCTTTTCAGATTTCAGCTTCAACCAGCTGACATTTGGCACCGTGTCTCGGAGAGACCCGAATGCTCTTAAGAATGGCTTGCTCACCATTATTCCACAAAGTGATGTGTTTGACACAAAAGCATGGATGCTGGGAGAAAAGGTCATCATTGAGGCATCATCAGCATACTTTGAAGCCTATCGATATGTCCTAAGCTGCCTTCAAGAATGCAGAGAAGATGATTTCCCTCTCATTGACTACATTGTGTATGGGACAATGAAGGATGCTCCTCCAAAATTCCTTCCAGTTCAATATGATTTTTCCTTTATTCATCCTTGTCTGGGAAAAGTTGATCTCTTGGACAAAGAGAACTGGCCTGCTGCTGAAGACTTTGGCTTTGATAAATCACAGTTAGAGGCATTCCATAGTGCTCTGACCCAGGAGTTTGCTGTTATTCAAGGCCCTCCTGGCACAGGTAAGACATTTATAGGACTCAAGTTAGTTGAAACCCTGCTCAAAAATGGTTTGACTGAACAAGCTGGTCCCATTCTTGTGATCTGTAACACAAATCATGCCCTGGATCAATTTCTAGAGGGGATCTTGTCATTCACTGATGATATTGTTCGCATTGGTGGTCAGTCCAAGTCTCCTCGCATGCAAGAATTTCTCATTAAAAAGTGGGAAGAGGCTGGCCAACCGATGAGATCAAGTGCCAATAGCATAGTCTTAACAAAGATGAGAAAGAAGCTTGGATATGAGATGCATGGCATCAAGGAACAGTTGCAGCATTATCAAGAGAGTCTTTTCATACTCCAGAGAGGTTATGGATTGCTTTCTTCAAAGACCTTGGATGACATGCAAATTGTGGATGAAGAGACACATCCAATTATGCAAAAATTCTTTCACTGGCTGAAATTGGCTGGGAGGAGTGCAAACCAGCTGGAATGTCAATCCTTACAGTATCAGTTTCAAGAACTTGCAAAGCTGAGACCCTTTGCTCCTAAAGAAAAACCTGTTCTTAAATTAATGGAGCAGCAGCAGGAAGAACATTATGAAGATGATGAAGAGGCAGTTGAGGATGCACAAGCATTTCAGCTTACACAGTGTGTTGAAGACAATGACCTTGAGTTAGTAGTTGATGTTGAGGACAAGCTTGATGAAGCGTCAGGAACATATCTGAGAGTGGAGTTTGAGATGTTGCTTGAAAGTTTGCAGCATGATGTCTGGAGTGCAGTTGAGGATCTTAAATTTTATGAGAATGCTGAATGTCTCTCCTACTAAGACAAGCAGAAGAAGCATGTGGCTGTTCTAAATCATACAAGGGCATGCAATCAGCTGAAGCTTTTCAAGCACATTCAGCCTCTTCTGAAGATTGATCTATGTAGTATTCCACCTAAGCCAAAGCTCCTTCTGAACAAGCTTGACAAACAGTCTTTGAAGGAATTCAGTCTTCAAGTTTACTTGGAATTTGTGGCCTTTTGGCATGGGCAGGTGATTGTCTGGATCCTAGATGAGCTGATGAAGAAGTCTAAGTTATACTTGAAACTCATGGAGAAACTCAGGGAACTGCAGGGAATTATGCAGTTACATGCCATCAAGGAAGCTAAAGTCATTGGAATGACCACTTCTGGTGCAGCCAAATACCAGTCATTGCTTCAAAACATTGGTGCAAAAATTGGTAAGGGTCTTTGTCATGTCACTTGGATGTGTATGGATTCCAGGAGCTAGTATTATGATCCTTTTAATATTTGTATTTGGGACCTAGTAATTGTGGAAGAGGCAGCTGCAGTCATGGAGGCTCATATTGTGACATCCTTACCACATTCCTGCCAACAACTCATATTGATTGGTATGTGAGTTTATGCTCTGAGAGTCATCAATCTCCTTGATTCATCAGCAACTCATTCAGATTGCATTAAGTGTGAATGCTGCATCTTTATAAATCTTTCCTGAATTCTTATGAACAACTTATGAAAATGTTTTAAGTCTTTCACCATGGAAATGTGATGAGTTTTAATGATTCAATTGATGCCCTTGAATTTACTCCTCCAGCATAAGGTTCAGACTGAGTTTTGTGTCAAGGGTATTTAAAAAAAGGCAAAAATGGAACTATTCACAACTAATTCAAATGTTGTCAATTCATCTTTATTGTGATTCATGCTGAAGTGAAGCAGAGCAAGCTTGACCTTGCACCAAAGTTACAGTATCAGGTTACCAGAGGCCAGAAGGGAAAGGACCTTTGTAGTGGTAGCATTTCCATTTTCTCCCCAGCACACATTAGTGACTCCTGCATATTTGCTTTTATGAAAATGTATATTTTCATTGGCTACTTAAGGCTGACCTTGTTTTATAGAGGGTATGGTGGAAAAATATAAACAACTTTTAACCCAAATATCTCTGCTTACACTGGAGCTAGTTTCTCATAAATTTTGCTATGGATATTTGAAAAACTTTCCTACTGATTCTAAAAATATTTTGACATATGTATTTGACAAATATAAATTGGCATGGAATTTCCATGTGAATTTGTTAAACTGAAGTAATCCTATCAGCAATGAGTGGAAAGAAGTTAGGTATTGAGATTGGACAAGAGCTCCTGCATGTATTGAAGAGGAGGAAATGCTCAAGTGCCATCCTCCATGGTCATGAAGGCTGTACTGTTTTGAACTCCTGGCATTTAAGGTCATTCTTTTGGCTGGTTGTCGTTTGCAGATGGTTCTCATGAGCTTATTCCCACTGAATAGCAGATGACTTTAAATCCAGAGACTTTTCTCAATGTTTATTCCGAATTTCCCTTGATTTATGAAGAATGTGACAGACAAGGACTACAGGGGTATGGCAAAGAAGACCAATGACTTAGAGTGTCTGTATCTAAGGACTCCTCCAGCCATATCTTGCCAGATATGCTTAGAATAAGGAATGTCTTCTTTCATGACAGGTAGGTTTTTCTGAATTATTTTCATAAAATCGAAATCAAAATTTTTATTATCAGAAAAGTCAGAACTCCAAAGAATAACTTCAACATTTTTTCTGCCATTCCTTGTCATATTGCACATTCAGAGTTCTGACCTGGTACAAGTCTGGATGTAGTGTAATTTTTATGGAAGAGGTGGCCACAGAGACTTGAAGGACATACTGAGCTGTCATGTTACCTGCTAGTGATATATGTAAGAAGTTTCCATGACCCTAATGAAATTCTCATGGTATTTAACCTGTTTTACAAGAAGTAAAGTGGGTCTAAGAAGGTATGGTTGGATTTCATCTTGGAGTTTCTGATTTCTGAAGGAAATTTTAATGAGATTTACAATGCCAGTGACTACGAAATTCTGGAGTCTCCCAAGAAGATGAAATGGGCTCCTATCAAGGATCCTGTCACTTCACTAGATGACAACCTGAAGAGTCACAAGTGGGTAAAACTCCATTGGGCCATCAAAGGAGAGACTGCACAGTGTGTGTTAAAACAAAATTCAAAGTTCCACTATGTTTGTTCCTCTTGTGGAGTTCATGCAGCAGAATGCTGTGCAAAATATCACACTCTGAGAAAGTATTGAAGGTATCTTTCAAGTTTTATTTTTTAACTTGAACCATTCTTGAGAAATAAATGTTTTTGTCAGTAACAGCAGAATTTTCTGAGAGGCAAAAAATGCTTGACTAGGAGAGGTGGGTGGACCTTTGAATGCTTGGCAGTGAATGTATTAATTGGAAGAGGAGTTTGACATGGTCTTTGTGACCAAGGAGGACAGAGCTTGAATGTTTTTCTCCACACCACTATCAGTTGGAGTTCCTGTCCATTCTCAATATATAAATTCATTTCAATTAATGCTAATTGCTTCAGTTCAATAAAATCAGATGAATTTTAAGAATCAGTTGGAAACATACTAATTTGTGCAAGTGAATTTGTGCCATTGCATTTTCTGTTGATCTTGAGGCATTGGTAATTGTATATCATGCCAGCCAGTAATTAGTAGGAAAAACATTTTTCCTTGTAGGGGACCATCAGCAACTCAAACCAAATCCAACATGGTATGAGATGGCTAAAAAGTACCACCTTGATGTTAGTATGTTTGAGCATGCAGTGAATAATGGGACTCATCTGAAACAGCTGAGGGTTCAGCATCGGATGCGTCCAGCCATCAGCTGGCTCATTGCTCCAGTTATCTATCCTGTTCTTGTGAATCACGATTCTGTCATGGACTATCCAAGCATCTCTGGGATTTCACAAAATGTATTCTTTGTGACTCATGGGCATGAGGAAGTTGAGGTGAGCTCTCATCTCATTATTGGTCAAAGGAAATATTAAATTTGTTTTTTCAAAATTGATTTGGCAATATCTGTTTGAAAGGAGGAAGATGTATCTGGTCATAAGAACTTATTTGAAGCAGAATTCCTCCTTGCACTGTGTCAAAGGCTCCTTCACCAGGATATATACACCCCTGATGACATCACCATCCTCACAGTATACAAGGGTCAACTTTTTGCCTTTAAGCAGGTAGTTGTCCATTGTCTCCCATGAGAGTTAATATAATATTTACAGTTAATTTAATTTTTAATTTGTACATCAGCTGCTGAAGGGGAATCAATTTGAGGATTGTAAGCAAGTTCGATGTACTGTTGTGGACAACTTCCAAGGTGAGGAGAACAAGATCATTTTGCTCTCACTTGTCAGAAGCAACAAAGAGGCTAATATTGGGTTCCTGAAGACAGAGAATCGTGTCTGTGTGGCTCTGTCGAGGGCCAAATGGGGATTATACATAGTGGGAAACATGGATTGTCTCTGCAGTGGTTCCCAGATTTGGCAAAAGATAAAGACAGTTCTGGAAAAACAGGAAGCAATTGGACCTAAGTTAGAGCTCCAATGTGCAGTCCATAGGGATCAGAAGTTCTGGGCTTCTCAACCCTCTCACTTCCCTGCTGGTGGAGGGTGTCATTTGCCATGCAAAGTGAAGATGCCCTGTGGACATATTTGCCAGAAAGCATGTCACACATATGATCAAGGACATGTATTACTCAAATGCATTGAGAGTTGTTCAAAGAAATGCCCTGCCCAAATTCATGACTGCATCAAAAAGTGTTGGGAAAAATGCAATCCATGTCACGTGCCTATGACCAAGACAATATCTTCATGTGGGCATTCCAAAGAGATGCTCTGTTACCTTGATCCAGCAAAAGTGCAATGCCAGACCCCCTGTATTGCCCGATTGGAATGTGGACATCAGTGCAGTCAACCCTGTCATGTACTGGATGACCCTGATCATGTCAGGTATTTCTGTCAAAAGCAGTGTGAAAGATTGTGTCATGAAAAGCACAAGTGCAAAGAGTTATGTGGTAAATATCCATGTCCCCCTTGTATGGTGATAATGGATCGCATCTTGCCATGTAAGCATGCCGAAAAGCTGCCATGCCACATTGATGCCGCTCATTATCTATGTCAGCAAAAATGTTCTAAGAGTCTGCCATGTGGTCACCAGTGTCGACTTAAGTGTGGTGATGTTTGTGGGAGATGCACTAAGCTTGTCATCAAGACCATTCCTGACTGCAGTCATGAAATCCATGTAGTATGTTCGTCAACCCCTGTGAAAGCTGATTGCAGAAAAGCCTGCAAAAGAACGCTTCCCTGTGGTCACTCATGCACAAATCTGTGTGGAGACATATGCACAAGAGAGTGTAAGGTCCTGGTCCCATACTGTGGAGGTACTCTATCCAGGTGCGTATCATTTAAAAAAAAAACACTAAATGCAATTTTTGAATGCTGGTTGATGGTGTGATTCCTTTCTAGCTGTGGGCACATTGTCAAGGTACCATGTTGCAATTCAGGAGAGAAGATCGACCCAGAGGAGCTGATGGAAATGTGTGATGCTCCTTGTTCAAAGGTGCTGCCAGATTGTGAACACATTTGCACTGGCAAGTGTGGGAAATGCTGGGGTGGCAGACTCCATCAAGAATGCAGTCACAAATGTGGCCATCCTCTAGTCTGTGGGCACATGTCAGTTCACTGAAATCTCTTTTTTTGCATGAGAGAAATTGAAGTAAAGTGATCTCTCTCAGATGTTATTTTGTATTTTCTTCAGATTGAGTCAATACTTGAAATGATAATGAGTTGAAGATCAACAAACATCTCTCACAGAATGTCTGATCTTAAATGCATTATGTTGATGGGAATAACGCATAATTCCTTAACACGAGAACCACCTGCTTTTCTTTGGAACTTACATTCAGAAAGAGAGAAAAATATGCAATCACCTTCAGCCACAATGAGACAATGGCATTAAAATGATAGGTCTTGTAAAGTTGGTTGGCAAAAATTATAGTACTATTGTAACCTTGGATGCTTTCTCTTATCAAGTGAAGATGCAACCCCTTGTGATGAACATACATCCATAAAGGGTTTTTGTTGATCACTCTCTTGTCAATCAGATGCCAAGACAAATGTTCCCGTTCCTGTCCTCCATGCACCAAGAAATGCCAGAATGTATGTGAGCACAGCTACTGCCCAAAGAAGTGTGGAGAGCCTTGCCCCCCATGTCAGGTGACCCATCATCACTTGTTCAGGTGTGTTGCTTGTATAAGTTTGTTGTGAGCCCATTCTGCTTTTTTCCCTTCTCAAGGAATGGTGCACATGGAGATGCCACCAGAAATGTCCAGCAAATCTCAAGTGCACCAAAAAGTGTCATGAAATGTGCAACCGAGAGCCATGTAATAACCCCTGCCCAAAGAAAATGAAGAAATGCAAGCATCCATGCATTGGTCTCTGTGGAGAACCATGTCCCCCTCTATGTAGAATCTGTAATGCAAAAGAACTGGCAGAGTTCCAGATCTATGGGAATAAGACTGCCAAGAATGCTAGGTTTGTTTACCTGCCAGACTGTGACCACTGCATTGAAGTGAAGGCACTGGACCATCACATGAAGGTGGAAATGGAAGAAGTCAGGATGAAGAGATGCCCCCTTTGTCATAGGGTCATCTGGTCATCAGTACGGTATGGGAACATCATGCGACAGCTTTACTGGAATCTTGCAGCTGTGAAGGAGAAGGCTTTTGGTGACCCAAAGCTAGACAAAGATGACTACCACAGGTCCTTCCAAGACTTGAAAAGTGAGAATGAAACTATTGGAGTTTTTCCTGTACTGACCTGATAATGCTGCACTCCCTGTCTTTGTTGCTGTGGAGTGATGGAGTTTTTCTTGCTAATGCTACACTAAGTTTTTATTTTTCCTACTGCTTTCAGACTTTGTTGTATCTTCAAACTAATAAATTCAAACTTGGCTTTTATATGAATTCTCCTGACTTCAAGGTCATCTGTATTAATCCAAGAAGAAATTTCCTTTTGACAGAATAACTTACTCATTAACTCATAAAAGAAATTATTAGTTGCAAAAGATTTAGGTGGAAGATGCTTTTCTTATCTTCTCAGGTGAGTCTTAGCTGTTTCTCTTGCAGAAGATGAAATTATTGTCAGATTAAGAAATTATTTAATTGTTTAACCTTTTTGTTGGTAAATTTTTTCTCATGTGCAGCTTTCCCAGAGCAAGTGGAGGGTCTAATGCTTTTTGGGAAGTATACTTCCCACTGCCTGCAAATAGGCTGAAATGCTGTCAGTTTTCCCTCCTGAGCAGTTCTAGAGTTATTGGGACAAAAGGGGTAAAAAATTGATTTACCAAAATGTCATCCAACTTGTTTTTCCTGCATTGTATTGAAACTAAATTTTGACTAAATAAGCTACACTAAACATTCATCACCTGGCGTGGGATGGTTTTTCATTGCTCCTGCCCCATTCCATTATGATGAATTTAACACTTGCTTGGTGAAACATTTTGACTAATTTCTTACATCAGTAACACTGGAAAACTCTCCCAGCCAATTCATTTTTGAGCAACAATAAATGTCATTTGGCATGGATGAAGGTGATGGTCTATGCCTTCTTTCCTGAAAATATGGAAGCTTATGGTCAGGCCAAGTCAGAGTGAATTGGAAGGGAAGCAGCAGAACCAAAACCATTGTCTAAAATGTGTTACGTCAGAAACATGACATAAATGGCCTTGCTTTTTTTCATCCATGGGAGAACTGAGAAATTTTTTACTGGAATAGGTACAGGTATCTATTCTCTATGAGGCACTGCTGAAGTAGAATTTCTGGACCGAACCATCTTCAAAGTATATTATCATACATGTTTTTATTTTGAGTGAAGTGTTGCATCAGTAACTTTGGAACTGCCCTCCTTAGATGTTTGCTTCATTCCATTTCATGAAGGACAGTAGCAGTAAAAAACCTTGCATTTGTTCATGTGACAACTCTGTTTCCAGATGTGAACTCTCATCACCTGCAACAGGAATTCAAAATGCTTCAAGAAAGTGCAATGGGAAAGGTGGAACGCATCAAGAAGTTTCATAATAGCCTCTTCACCTCAACTATTGTTAATCAGTTTGAGATCATATTCTTCAAGAATCAGAGGGAAGTCCTAGAAAAGTTGGAGCTGCTTATCAATACTGGCCAGAAATATTGTGCAGAAGTTCAAGCCTTTCTGATTCGGAAAGCAAAAGTGGTAGGCTTTTCTGCTTGTATGACCAAAATAGAAGTGCATGCAGAATTGTGTTTGTATGACTCATGGATATTGTTCTTAGATTGCAAATCGTGTGTTGACACAAATAAGGGGCTTCAGTGACTTGAAACTAATGGCGCTTGCAGGGGAAGTTGCACGTCTCGGGCTCCTTGCTGAATACTGGCAGCTTCAGGTAAAGTTATTGTTGACTTCATGACATTTATGTTGCATGGAGGTTGGATCATAACTTCATCATTACTTTTCTGAATATTTGTTGTGTTATCTTATACTGCTTGAAAAATGACACAAATCATTACATTTATTCAGTAATACAACCTTGCATGATTACTCAAACAGTTAGAAATGGGTGCTCTCAAAATTTACTGATGAAGGATGTAAGATCAGAGGCTTTGGTAAATAATGCAAGTCTGTTTGCAGAAATCAAGCTTGCTAACTTAAATATGTGAAATTAAATTATGATTACACACTGTAAATATTACATGTTTTGCTACACCCCTTGCATAGTCTGCTTGCATTTGATACATTTGAAATTTCAGGAGAATGTAATTCCTCACATTGAATTTTTTTGGTTCTCTGAGCATCAGCTCTTCATTTTTGCACTTTTGAATGAGATAGGAAGGTATGCCAAGTATTTGAGCAGAGGTTCATTTTGTGCTGCTTTGATTTTATCATACCTAGTAGTTTCATGGTTGTCAGGTGAATTTTGTGATTTTCATGGTTCTGAGGATCAGTGATGTGTTATCTTATAGGAAATAAAATGAAATTCCTTTTTAAGCAAAATTCATTCACAGGAGATGATTGGATTACTCTAGTGTTTTTTTTTGGATGGTGTCACAAGTAACCCAAATGCAATGGAACAATTGAAGAAAGCAGAAGTATTGCTCCTCGGTCAAGAACCATTCACAGATGCCATGTATAAAGAGGCTCATAGGGAGCTGGATGCTGCATCTCGAAGCTGTGGAAAGTTGGGGATACCCAATCAAGAACAAACCATTATTCTCAAGGTGATGCCCTAGGATGTTAGTGGATAGTATAGATTATAGAGATGTGATTTAGTGTGGCAAGAATAATATTCTTAAGAAAAGCCTCTCTGGTCCCTGTACCCACATGAGCTGATACATCCTTTTTTTTTCTTTGGTCATCAACTTACTCAAGGAGTCAAGTTTTTGCCTGACAAAATTTATGTTATTATAATAGAAAGTTCATAGTACTGTTTTACTGTGACCATTATCCCTCCTATGTTCATTCTATTTTCAGATCAAATCCAGTCAGTTTTTCAACTTTTGGCTCGTAGAAAAGGACTATATTTAAGTTGGTTAGTGTAGGTTTTGTAGATATTGATATTTCAGAGCATGTTCTTGTTTCAGACTGTGGACTTTGGCCAAGGATACTGGTATAAGTGTCCCTATGGACACATCTGTGCAATTGGGGAAAGTGGAGGAGCCTTGCAGGAACCTCGATGTGATGAGTGTGGGGCAAGGATCAGGGGAGGTAGGCATTGACTAGTCAATGACAATGCTCGTGCTGGAAAAATTGGGTCACAGCTCCTGGACTGGACTTAATTAATCTTAAACTGTACTGTTTGCAATGCTGTAAGCAGATCAATGTAAACTCTATTCCATCGGGATAGATTTAGGCTTATATTTCATGGAGCATGGATAAGCATTATCTTCTTTTTTTCACTAGTGTGAAGATTATATTTTACTTTAGTCTCACATTTTTTTAAAGCTGTTTGGATGCTTTTACTCACTCTGGCATGTAAGTGTGACTGTCATAATACTGGAATGGTAATCAGATATGTAGGTCACGAAGAATGGCAATAAATTGGGTTTCAGTGAGACACAATGTGTCACATGACTGTGTAGTCACCAGAAAAAGAAACAGGTGTAGATGTTGATGTGCTGGGGAAAAAGAAACAGTCTTGGGATGTGCTTAGATAGCCGAGTTTCTCACAGTGTTGTCGATGGTCATTTTCAGAGGTTGAGAATATATTTGAGTCACTATCATGGGTATTCCTGCTTATGAACCCTCGCATTGCTTAACTCTTACACAGGCATGGTGTCATATTGATCTCAACTGCATCTTTTCTCACTTGCTTTATTGAAGAGTTGTGCCTTATAACTTTAGTTTGAAATGAAGTTTTTCTTGAGAGTGCAGAGGTGCCAACGTTTCATTCCTCTCATCTTGCTTAGTTCTTTATCAGATGTCCACCATGGCAAGGTTCAGCAGACAAATATGGGGGAAATACAAAGTTCTGTTTTCCATTCATATCATCTGTCGATTCCTGGCATTGCCTTCTGGTGTTGAAATCTCTGACTCATGAACGCTTAACTATCTACCAATGCTCACGATTATTTGGGCAGAATCGTATTTCATCACACTCATTACTGTTGCGTTCACGTACCATTTTCTGGCCGTTATTTTCCTCAAATTCCTCCTCGATCCCACCCCAAAGCACAATGGCTGCTGACGGCGTTTCCTCAGACTTGTTCTGAAGTGGCAACTGCAACTGGTCCTGAAATATTGAAAATTACCCCTTGCATAATTTTGGGAATCTGTGCTTGTAGGGCACACCCAACTCATTCCCTGGTCTGAACAGGGGAGATGACTGCTGCAAGCACTGAGAAGAGAACCCGTCCCAAAAAATGCAAAAGCCGTTACCATCAGTTGAACGGGGAATTTTGTCAAGTTTCACATTTCACGATGCGTTTGGCTTGTGTTCCCACGGGCGCTTCGCCACCCTACCTGTCGTGCACAGCATGCCCTTCACTTCAAGCCGTTCCACCCCTAAAACGCGTCACAGCTGGAGGAGGGTGCCTCCACCTTTCCATCCGCTCTCGGCCCACTTTCTCATTTCCACTCGTGCCTCCACTGGGGCTGGATTGATATAGCGTCTGGTGGGAAAAGCAGGAGGCTCGGGTTCGATTCCCAAGAATGGAATTTTTTTTTTTCCCCTCTTTGGTTTTGCAGCTTAGAATGATCTCAATTCCCAGATCGAGATACGGGTGTAGCTTCAGACTCCCAAACAACCTGAATGTTAACATGAGAAACGGATTCTCGAGAAGCATATTTCGCGCCCACGAATTTAGGATGTCGATGACAGAGAGGCTGATTTTTTTTTTGTGACGATGTGCGGCGGAGGATCCCGTTGGCTTTTGTTGAACGCCTGTAAGGATTTGAGAAAAATTCGCAGGTTGAATACAAATGGAATCGCATGGATTTCGGAAGGCGCTTTTCGCTCTGATCGCGCCAAAAAAGGGAGCCAATTTAAAGTCCTATTTTTTTTAAATTATTTATTCATCGGCTTCTTCAACTTCATGTCTGCCAGGTTTTCGAGGAAAACTCGTTCGTGCGTCCCTCGAAACCCCCAAAATGTCGCTTCATCGCCGAAAATAAATATTCAATCATCTACGAGTGAATTCCAAAAAGTTTACAGCATTTAATTTAATTTTAATTTTACTTATTTATATTAATTGCTTTTTCGGGCAGACTGAAAATAAGGCTGCATGCAATCCACTCGATAACAGATGATCTCGAGATGAAACTGCGATGGTTTTCCGCCAAATTTTCCGTCGACCCTCTTCACTTCCAAAATGCCGAAAACTAGTTGCACAGAATGCAGGTTGCAAAAGGCAATATTGCCCGCCAATTTCGATCCATCCATTCTTCTGCAGGTACGAGATTCTCATCTCCCCCCAAAGTCATTTTTATGTTATAACGCCTTCATAAAAACGAGAAGATAAAAATTAGGCAGCGTCACTGACGAACCCAAGTGCTTCCCATCGACCCCGAGAGAGCTCACTTCTCTCCTTTCGCATGGACTGAAAACGAGGAGGCTTTAGGTCTGACACTTAGCTATCGATTTCCCTCATTTCCCTTCACTTCCTGGAGCCTGTTTCATGGAACTTACAAGCTAACAAGCTTACAGGTTGCAAGGGATTAGCTTGTAATTACAGGTTCCTCCGTGTTCCGTGGAGGGAATGGCGATGTCCAGGAGAAGGACTTGACTCGGAATGATGTCTGGAGTTGGGTGACATCTACTGGAAGCGCTTCAAACTATTGGTATATTTTCGGAACTCAGATGTCGCTAATCTCGACTCGTTCGTTTGTTCGCTCAGCAAATCCCCCTTCCGCTTTTCAGAGAAAATGTGAACATTTTCCGTTGTTCCTGCTTGTTGGTGTTTATTATTGTTATTTTTTTTTTTTACCGCGGGAAGAAGCCGAAAGGGAATGTCTTCTTCCGCTGCTCCTCGATTTTCGTGAGTAAGTTTGAAATCCTCCGAGTGCGAACGCGGACAGGAATGGTGCACTTTGCAAGTCATTTCCCCCGTTTTTGGAGTCAGGCATTCGTGGAAATGGGATAGTTCCTATTGATGTGAGAAAAATTTGAAATTGTGTTCCTTCAGCAACTTGCCTGTGAATTGCAGGTGAAGTGAACCAGAGAAATTTCTTTTGTGCAGTTATTAAATGAGGACAATGATGACTCACCAAGGAAAATGGTTTCAATTTAATGAAATCCTTCCTCTCCGTGTTTTACAAGTTTTATTCGAAGATTCAGAAGACTGTTGAAATTTTAATCGCATAATCACACGCAGGAAGAAGTTCTTGTATCGCATTTCGTTTATATCGCTCAGTTCCTCGGCTTTTTTTTCGGCGCTGAGTTCATTTTGGGTCTCGCGTGTAGCTCAGTGCAAGAAAATGGTTTTGCAAATCGTTGGCCATCGTTTGTCGTCTTGCCTCGGACGAATAGTTGCGAAATAAAAAAATTATCGGCTCAACCAAAGAAAACCAGGAAGTAGGAAGATGGCTCGTGCCTCTATCACCTGGTGGGAGCCTGGTGTGTCCTCAAGTTGTGGAGCAAGAGGCTAAAGTGCAGTCCGCCTCCTTGCTTTCGCGCGTTTGGATCGACGTGGGCCTATGCCGCACCCAGTGTGCATGGTTATCCCGTAGGTTGACAGATTTTGGCTTATGCGGATGGGAAGGGGGGAAAAATGAGTTTTCCAAAGGGTAGGAATAAACTTGACCCTGTTTGGACAAAGTTAGGGGTCTTAGAAGAGCCGTATTCTCAATTTCATTTCAATTTCTCTCACTCTGGGAATGTAAGAAACAGCTTTCTGTCTTGCATCACTTAGAACCAACTAAGAGTTTAGTATGCTTTTTATGTTCCATTCACTAGTACACAGTACATGCATGATTGGAAAACTGTTTCTGCCATCTGTAGTTGCTCACCTCATTTTTAAACTGATTCTTACCTTGCTATTAATGGATTTCAAAGTGAATTCCTTGGAGATATGTATCAGAGATCAAATGAAATTTATGAATTAGAAAAAACTTGATCATGTAAAGTTTTCAAAGGGGATTGAGAGAGAAAGCCATGACCCAAATAACTATAGAGCAAGCAAATGAGGGCTTTCCAGGATACCATGGAAAATATTATCAGGATTGCCTAAAATTTGACTCATTCATTTGACTCAATCAACTTACTGAGTTCATTAAGTGGTGATGAGGGGATGAGTGTTGCACAAGATGAGACATGATGGAAACATCTACCAGGGAAGAAAGATGTTCTTGATGCCAAACTTCAGCTTTCCAGAATGGAAAGTCTTTGGTATGTATAATATATAGAATACTGTTACTGTTTTTGATCATCACAAAACCTTTTGTATTGGGTGAGTAATTTAAAAGTGTACTCAACAGGATCCCAGTTTAAAGAATATGGTGGAACTGGGCTTGCAAGCAAACTTCAGTATCCAAAGTTTTGACTGGCTTTCCTCAACTCTGTCACTGACTGAGTTGCTGTATTGCTGTAATTTTTTGCCTGATGTTTTGCAGTCTTCCAATGTATAGGGGTTATTAACATACACCTTGTCTTTCAATGCACCCCATAGGTAATAATCACAAACACTGTCATCCGATGAAATTGCAGGCCTTAGACCATGACTGATCCAACAAATGATTATAATGCTTAATGACTGATGGCAAAGCCAGGATCAGCTTGCATCACAAATGCTTGTACTCCTTTACCCACTATGACATTAGTGAGTACGCTCTTAGATCCTTCTTCTTAGAACACATCCTTCTTTTCCATTCCCAATTTCTTCCTATGCATATCTTTCAGACGATTTTTACAAAAAATTCCACTAGACTCAAGCTACTATGTTCCATGGGACAGGTGAATAGATACTCAGGCACATGCAAATGTTTTTGGTGCTGTGATGCCTCTTTATCTTTAAAAATTGGAAATATTTATTTCATGGATGTGTTTGATGTAACAAAGGCATTGGTCACTGAGGGCCAATATATGACCCACGTGAAAATTCCATGTAAGACAGGGTGTATGATTCTGTATGGTCACGTATGATCGTATGTTTACCATATTGGTGGTATATACAGAAGTATATAATTGTTAACATACCACGTATTATATAAAATGGACGTAACGTTATAATACATACTACCCGTTTACCGTAGTACGGACTATACACCACTTATACGTATCTGTTCAGAATACCAATATTCAAAAACATGGCATGTGGTCAGTGGTGAGTCTTGGTTGAAGAGTCAGGGGGGACAGGGCAGCAGAGTGGAGGAACCAAGCCCTGTCCCAGGGATGCCAGGGGGGGCAGCTGCACTCCTGTGCCCCCTCCCT